CCCACCCCTGATGTGGCGGGCGGGGAAGAAGGTCCCGGCATGCAGCCTCTGGCACACAGAGGAGTTGCGGTACACCCATTCCTCGTGTGCTTTGCTGGACCAGCCCACGTTGATGTCTACGAACTGGCCCCGGTGGTCTGACACAGCCTGCAGGATGACTGAGAAGTATCCCTTCCGGTTGATGCAGAGGGAAGCCTTGTGGTCCAAGGCATGGATGGGGACGTGAGTCCTGTCGATTGCCCCCTCGCAGTTGGGGAAGCCCAGGGCACCAAACCCCTCGATCACCGCCTCCAAACCAGTGAGGCAGATGACTCTGCCGAGCAGCACTCTACTGATGGCCTTGACCACCTGCAGAGGGACACACAAAACCACCAAGAGTCACTGGGGTGCCAGGGAGTGCTCCTTCCCCGCCACTGCCCCGTGCCCCCACTCCAAGGAGCAACCCCCCCTGCAATCCTGGCCAGCAGGGGCAGGCCGTAGTGCAGCTGGGACCGATCAAACCCTCCCGGGGAGGGGACTTTCACCACATCCCCCCCTTTTCCCTAGGGCACCCCATCCCCTCCTCTCACACCCCCACTCCTGGCACAGTGGCTGGAGATTGCCATACCTGCATGAGCACTGCTCTGACAGCGGATCTCCCCACGTCAAACTGGTTCCCCATGGACTGGTAGCTCTCTGGTGTGGAGAGCTTCCAGAGGGCGATGGCCACACGCTTGTGGAGGGGAATGGCGGGCCTCATGCGAGTGTTCCATTGCCACAGAGCAGGGGCAAGCCACTCACAGAGCTCAAGGAAGGTGTCCTTCATCCTGCAGTTCTGGGTCCATTGTTGGTCTCCCCAGCGCTCCAGGGACGATGTGATCCCACCAGTCGCTCCTGGTGTTGATGCTAGATGTGGCGGGGCACACTGGCGTCCGGGCACTGCTGCTGCTCCTCTGCAGGCCCCAGGGGGGTCGGGAAGAGGGCCTGGGCTGTAGCAGATGCTGCCAGGCAGTCTCCAGCAATTGCACAGCCAGGCTTGCAGCAACATGTCCAAAATGAGCATCAGAGTGCCCAGGGATGGCTCTAGCTCGATGTGATCCCACCAGTCGCTCCTGGTGTTGATGCTAGATGTGGCGGGGCACACTGGCGTCCGGGCACTGCTGCTGCTCCTCTGCAGGCCCCAGGGGGGTCGGGAAGAGGGCCTGGGCTGTAGCAGATGCTGCCAGGCAGTCTCCAGCAATTGCACAGCCAGGCTTGCAGCAACATGTCCAAAATGAGCATCAGAGTGCCCAGGGATGGCTCTAGCTCCATGGTGCCAAGTGCTGAGGTGTCCCGAGTCAGGGCAACCAAAGCAGACAGAAAGAAACACTCTTTGGTGTCCCTCGGCGAGGTAGGCAAGCAAGCAGGGAAAGCTGAGAACCAGCTGTCCAGGAGGGTCCCTTTAAGCACAATCCTCAGCCTCAGGCAGCAGCCACACAAAGCAACTACTGACCTGATGCCCTGCTGGAACCAGTTTCAGCTGCCCTTAAATGCGATTCAGCGTCCAATCAGTGTGGGCGCACTATTTCGAAATCCATTTTGTATGTAGTCACATTATTCTGAAATAACTTATTTTTAATTAACTATTTCAAAATGAGATATTTCGAAATAACGCTGTAGTGTAGAAATACCCAGAGGTACAAAAGCCTCCGCTGGGGCTCTTGTGCCTTTCAAAGGAGGAATGCGGAACTCCGCATGCAGCCTGGGGCCAGCGGGAAGTCCTACCGACTCCGAGCTGCACGCAGGTGCCTGTTTTGAAAAGTACAAGAGTCCTCAGCAGGGACTCTTGTGCATTTCAAAGCCAAGGAGCCCGGGGTCAGCAGGGGACTCCCCAGCTGACTCCAGATTCCACATGGCATTTCAGCGGAACCTGCGATCAGCTGAGGACTCCCCAGCTGACCCTGGTTCTGGGGAAATGCCACGTGGAGCCCTGGGCTCCATGGCTGCCCTTTTGAAATGTGGAGGCAGCATTTCAAAGGGGCAGCTGCTGCACAGCTGATCCCCGCTCAGCTGTGTGACACTGCCACTTTGAAGCACACCTACCCCCCCTTTGCTGCCTCTCTCTCACAGAAGCATCAGGAGGGGGCGGGGGGAAGAGAGGAATCGACTAGTCAACAGATGCTTATTGGATAGTTTGGCTAGTCCTGAACATCCTTAGTACAGAATACTGCCCCTTGCTCTCGTCAAGTGTCTTCTGCTCCATACTCCCAGCCTTGGCAGTCAACTTCTCATTCAACTACCTCCTTGTGGCTCCCCGTGCAAGATGCAATTACAAGCTCATCAACAAGACCCCTAACTTGTCCAGATGTAAGTTCCCACTATAGACCAAAGTCAAAGTTGTAGACCATGAAAAAGTTGATTTGTATACAACGGCCTCATTTCCTTTCCTGGTAAAGATCTTCTTGTCATTCTGGCCTTAGGTTTTGAGCTTCTTGGAGCAGGGATTGAACTTTGAAGGTTTAAGTGCCTAGCACTATCAACCAATCCACCAACTAACAACCCACTAACAACAATGCACTCTTGAGATGCCTGAATGGATTGTGCTCCAAGTAATACTTTAGCACCTTGTACCCTGGGCCCTTTACTCCATTCACCTGAAGAAGTGGGTTGTGCCCACGAAAGCTCATGACACTATCTACATTTTTTGTTAGCCTCAAAGGTGCTGCAGAATTGTTTGTGGGGTTTTTATTAAAGTTTTTTCTCCAAACTTAAGTACCTGAAAGTATGCCACAAACAACACAGATAATCTTAAATTGAGACTAGCAGCAAAATATTTTTATTTCAATTAAAATGAAGAGCATTTAAAATAACTTCCACAGAACTGGCAAATTGACTTACCAAACCCCGACGTGGGGTTGTATCCAGGGGTCCCCCTATTTGTTCCTTGATGAAATCCATATCTTCTTTCAGGACAAGACCATAATCTTCCATCACTTTTTCTAGCCCATTGGAAGTAATGAGGTGTTCAAACATCTCAACAGAAGCCGTTTCATGCTGCAGAAAACGTACATATGTATGTCACTTTATCAAAACACGTAAGCTGCTATCAGACTTCGCCAAAATCAAGTATCAGAGCTGGGACCAAACAAGCTTCAAGTACTTATTTTAGCCACTGAACCAGGCTCTCTTCAGGAAATGCAAAAGTTAAGGTTCTTATAATGCATGCATATCGAATTTTGATTACTGGGCTATTAAGCTTGCATTTTAATATCCAGTGGATTCAATGGTGGGAAAGTTGCTTACTAAGGAAGTTAACTTTGATACTGACCAACTTCATTTATACTCCATAACAAGTTCATGCATCTGAGGAAGTGGGTTCTAGCCCACCAAAGCTGATGCCCAAATAAATTTACTTTTTAAGATGCCACAGGGATTCCTTGCTGTTTTTGCTGAAACAGACTAACACAGCTACTCTGATATGCAAGTTTTCTGTCTACTTCTCATGTACTGGCACAATGAGGATTACAAAGGATATAGGGGAACATTTGTTGCATTTTTTTAAATCCAAACAATACTAGAAAACCTGTGTATTTTTTTAAATTAAAACCTACATTTTAACAGCCTTTTACCTTTTTACATTAGATTTCTGTTTTAAAATAAAATCCAAAATAAGATTGAAAAGAAATTATTACTGTCTACAGTTATTGATTTATGCCTATAAAAATCTGGGTTCTGGGGAACGCTACCCCATATACATTAAGAAACTGTGTCAACTTGAAAATGGTCACTTTAAAAAGCAAACTTAAACAATGATTGGTTAGTAAAATTATACTAAAATAATTGTTTAGGGTATAGCTAAACAGGACTCAAGTTTCACTATATAAATTAAGGTCCAAGAAGACAAGCAAGTAGAAAAAAGGAGGAAAAGGAAAAGGAAGACCAAGAAGGAGGAGGGAAGACCTGGAGAACTCACCTCCAAGATACAGCCTAAGACCAGAGCTGCCAGGACTCCACTGCACGACTATGACATGCAGGAGCTAAGATCCAGAGAGAATGACCTTGCCTGGCCAACAGGGCAAGTCTGCATCTGAAGAAGTGGGCTGTGCCCACTAAAGCTCATGGTACCATCTACATGTTTCATTAATCTATAAAGTGCTACCAGACCATTTGTTGTTTTTTTCTGTATCAGGATTGAGGAGCATGACACTGTGTGCTCTGTTCTGCTTGCTTGGGAAATGTCAATAGATAGAGACTAAGAATATTACTGTGTGAGGCTCTTTCAACGGCAAAAGACCCTGCAAACCTGCAGGAAGTTACGCCCTGAGCCCTAGGAATTGGGCGTGTAAACTAACAGGGCTGTACCTGGAGCCCTAGGAATTGGGTAAAGGCGTGCATCCCTAAACTGCTGAAGGGATAGAGAAATTTGATTTGTGCAGGTAACACCTGGGGTTAATAACCACTGGTGCAGTTTATTTACAGGCTTCTTCCTACCACCATTTCACTTGACCCTTCACTGTCTGCAGGCAGGTGAGAGGGAAGAGTTACATCCCTGCCTTTTCCCTTTCTGCTCCCTCCTCAGTTTCCTTCCCCTAAAGCTTTTATTCAGCTCAAGCCCAGGTAGGCAGCAGCTGCCTCTGCTTTCCCAATTAGGGCCATGTTCCCTCCAGTCAGCTCTCGCTTATTCCCCTACAAGGGAGATGGCATAACAAGGGCTGAATCAGCAACCCTGTGCCCAGTCACAGCCTTCCTGAGCCCCTCTGAACATTTTATGACCTGTCCAAGTTTTTTTGTTTTGTTTTTTTAATTTCCTCATCCCCCCATTGCACAAGAGTCAGAGTGCATGTGCATGAGCAGCAGGGTCTCAGCTCTCTTACACACAGGTCAGGCAGACAGCTGGTGCAAATAACTACCCCCACTGCTCCTCTAGCCCAGGGTCACATGCAGAAAGCAGTCAGGAGTGCATGCAAAGAAAAGAGAAAATTCCTTCTGCTCTTGCCCCGCTTGAGTATTAGGAGACAGAATAAAAAGAACAAGCATATTACCATGATGGGAAGAGAGAAAGCTTTTCTGAAATTTAACCATGGTCAATATGCTTGTCACTCATTAGAACACTGCTCACAAAAGCAGGCTATATTGGCTGCCCATATCCTGAAAGGTGAATTACCTTTTCCTTTCAAAAAAGTGGAATATTTTTCTTGTATATTGTTCTCTGTGTAAAATATTTACCTTCCATTTCAGTCCTGGGCGAGCAAGTGGAATAAATCTTCCATCAAACATGTGTGAAAATGGTCCATGACCTTAAAGATAAAGAGTGTACAGGGTTAAGCTGAAACATGTTTGTCAGCAAAAACATGTCGGAACTGTGTGAATTTGTGTTCTCTCACTTCATTGTACAGCTCTTCACAGAACTAGAGTACAAGAGTCTAATTAAATATCATCTAGTGTGACGGGTGCAGTCTCAGAAGATCCCTTGGGACTGTTCCCTGGTGTACCGATCATGCCACTGACACTCGTGTTCAAGATCTCTGGAGCCTCACACCACCCTGTCCTGCTGGGCCCAATTCCCTGGTCTCCCCCAGAGAAGACACAGAGGAGGGGTAACATCCCCCCGAAGAGCAATACTGAAACTAAACTACTTCAGCTCTGGGAGAACGCAGTTCTAGGGCACAGCGCTCAGGAAGCCAACCCCCCACAGGGATCAGAACCGCAAATCTATCAGTCTTTCAAGTACAACTGAGCTCACAGGAAATGTTCTGTGTCAGCAACGCAATGGATGGAGCAGCACAAAATGTAAAGTGGCATTAAACAGCTGGAAAGGGGCAGTCTGTTCCTTAACCACTTTCACTTTAAAATGTTACTAGATGAATCAGAAGGGGTGCAGTGTTATAGCCATGTTGATCCCAGAATACGAAGACAGACAAGATAGGGGAGATAAACCTTTCATTGGACTCTGCTGGTGAGAGATCCAAGCTTTGGAGCTCACATAGTTCTTCTGCAGGTCACTGCAGAGCTCCATGTAAATTTGTCTCATTCACCAAGAAGTAGACAGAGGGAAAGGGCCTTGGGGTGCTTGCTCTTGTTTTTTATAGTTCCAGTCACCCTCCTGAAAAATATTTCCATAAAACGTCTATGTGAAAGGATGTTCCCTGATGGGGTTTTTTCCACCTGTGTGAGTTTTCTTAGTATTCCCCTCCAGCTTGCACTTAAATGCAAATTAAGGCAAGTATTCCTTCCTTTAGCACAGAGCTGTGAGATTTAGAACAGGTCTTCATATCACACAGGTGAATCTTATCACTTCATTGTGATGGTGTATTTCATATTCTTTATGGAAATAGGCTTCGGAATGGGAATGTGCTTTATGCAGAATTTTTCATTAACAGTATAATTGGAAAGCTTGCAATCCTCTGAATGCATATTTTCTATTTGTATGTATGTACCATGTCTATACATCCAAAATTAGGAGTCTTGACTGTAGATTTATCATCAATGTGTTTATGCTGGGGAAAGCCTATTTTCAGCCCATCAGGAACAACAATGAAGTTACACAGAGCTAATAGCCCATTAGCAAGAGACAATTGAGTGGAGTAGAACATATCACCTGATGCTGCAATCCATCTCAAATTTTGTACTTTTCCATAGAGGTGTTATGGAATTGAACAAAAGCTGCCCACCCTCGAGAAATGCTATATAAGTCAAGTCAACAATGGGGGTCTTCAGCTGACTTTTCAGACTGCCTCACCACCCCAAAAAGGTGTGTGAAAACACCTGATACAGAAGGACTGTAATGACAGAGGTGGAGAGGAACTGCTGGACCCAGATCAGAAAGGACATCCCTGGCCAGAGAGGGACTTTGCCTGAAGTATGAACTAGGGCGAGAAATTATGATTTGTAAAAATTTCTCTTCTTGTATTAGGCTTAGCTGGCATGTTTTGTTTTATTTTGCTTAGTAGCTTTCTTTGATCAGTCTGCTATCACGTGTAACCACTTAAATCTTACTTTTTATACATAATAAAATCAATTATTAAACCAGTGCAAATAATGGTTAAAGAGGCAAGAGCTGTGCTTCTCTTCTATAGATAATTTAGAGCATGTCTGTGTGTCTGTTTGTCCATTTATTCAAGAACTCCTCCTAAACTGTAAGAGCAAGGACCACCAAATTTGGGGTGCAGCTTCCTCTTATCATAACTTAATTCAAGGTCTGGGTTTGGTTGTGCCTGGAAAACAGGAAGTGCAGAGAATGGGACTGTTTTCAGTAACATGGAAAAGAAGGGGGCAGAGAGCAGAGGGGCACAGAGAAGAGGGAGTGGGGAATGTGACTACTGGAGGCAGCTGCAGCACAAAAGAGTGGCCAGCAGGGTTGGGGCTCCGCCATTTGCCTGACTCCAGACCAAGTAAGGAGGCCTCTGCCCCAAACCCGGAGCCTGCCTCCTCCCACAGGGAGACCCTGCAGACCCTGATAGAGGAGGGTGCAGCCCTGAGAACTTGTCCCTCCTCAGACAGCCTGCAGACTGTGGAGGGGCCACTGGAGGGCAGGGCCAGCCTGCAGAACACCAGCCCTTCCCAAACAGACTACAAGACAGGGTGGCCACCCCCCATGCAAGCCTCCCTCCCACAGAGCAGCTGCAGGCCAGGGGCTGCCCCTTCCCTCTCCCCACCTTGACAGGCTGCAGGCCTGGAGCTGGCCCCCAACAAGCTGCAGGCTGGGGGAGGAGAAGCCAGCTGGAGGCCAGGGCCAGCCCACAGAGCTCTAATCCCCACCCAATAAGTGCGTAGACCTGGATCCCCCACTCCAGAGAGCATAACCCCAGCCCCTCAGGAGCGCTGCTGGCCAGGGACCACTACGACAGCCCCCTAAGAGGAGCTGCGCCAGAGCAGCACCACCCTTACTACCACAGGCAGCCCCGGTAAGCCTCTTCCCCCCACCTCCCTGCCCCACGTCCTGCGCGTCCCAACTTTTGCCTTCATCCTGGCCTCTTATGTCCTCATCGGGGTGGCCGTGGCCCGCCTGCGCTCTACCCAAGCCCTGCGCAAGGCCCTGTCCACCTGCAGCTCCCACCTGACCGTGGTGTTACTCTCGTATGGCACCTTGGTCTGGCTCTTCTTCCACCCAGATTCCAGCAGTATCCCGGGATACAAACAGCAAGTGACCTTCTTCTACACCGCCGTGGTGCCCACCCTTCTTACCACAAAATCCTCACTCTAGCCTTCATTTTTTAAAGATACAATCATTGAAATAAAGGCACACTTCATTTACTCCCTCCCCCCCACAAAAAAACCCAAAAAACTCAAAAAACAGAAAAACAACTTCAGTTAAAGACCTGAGCAATGCCAGGCACATCATTGATAAAGGGGGCAAACAAGTCATGTGCTTGCTCTGTAAAAACTTAAGAGTCAGACAGATTTATTTGTGGCCCTAGTCCCCCTGGGTGTCAAGTCCCATTGAGCCTTCCCAGAGCTGAGCTGCTCTCACTGTCGGTGTTCTCTGCTGTAGGCTGTGACCCCAACTCTGTGCCATTGCTAGAGGAAACCAGAGGGTCTGATTCAACAGGACAGAGTGGTAGAGCACCCGTCATCAAGTGACAGTCTCGGGGGAAATCTCTGTGACTGAACCAGTCACATTCACAGATAGGGTTGCCACACCTTTTATCAAGACAATACCTAAGCAAATTATGAGTTTTTAAATCATCCACATACCTTGTCCTAAGATTATCACAAAAGCGTGTAATATATGGCTCTATTCCATCACACCCAGAACCACTTAAGCTACCAAACAATTGCTTTGAAGAGCTACTTACCCAAATCATGACAAAGTCCAGCAATCTGGACACAGAGAATATCTCGCTGGCTTATCTCCAACTCTGGCTGTCTTTCATGTAATGCCCGGACCAGACATCCTGCTAGATAGCCTACCCTGTTCCAGGTAGAAAATTGGAGATCAAGTTAATTTCAGACTAGAGAAACTTGCAAATTCAATTCTCCCTTTGGTACTGTCTTTGCCGGGCCCTCTGTGGGGCTGGAGCAGAACTTTGCTCCCCTCCAGCACTAGGGATGTAATAGTCTAGTCAATTAACCAATAAGCAAAAGCTTTTGCTTATCGGTTAATGCTATAGACTACACGCATCCCACTCCCCCTCGCCAGTACATTTTTAGTAGGCTGACCAGCAGCCTGGCTCACTCCTGGATCGGGGACCTACCCCTGCTGCGGCTCTGTATTTAAATTGTATTAGGAGCCAGATGGGGAGGCAGGCCAGCTCAGTTTCAGCTCATGCCAGGTCCAGGAGCTCAGACCCCCCCTCTGGACAGGCAACAGCATGGGGAGATAGGCAGCCGGTCCACGAGGGGAGCTGGTTTTTAAACTGGCTCCCCTCATGGACCAGCTCCCGCCTGGCATCCCACGCTGCTGCTTCTGATGCAGAGGCAGCAGCACGGGGTAGCAGGAGGCTCCTTGGAAGTGGGGCTGGAGTGCACTGGCTGATGCTCCCACCCCTAGGGACTGTAGAATAGTCGAGTAATGATAAGAATTCATGAGGTTAACTGACTATTCAATTAACCTATTTTTAACATCCCTATACTGCTGCTACCAGTTAACGGAGAAAGAGTAAGCATCACCTGTTTAGAGTGATTCTTACCACTAACTGGTTAATCTTTTCCAGCCCTATTACCAAGGTCATTTTCCTCTTGTAACTCCAACACAAACCCTTCAAATAGCTTCCTTCACCAGTACAAAGTCAAACACCTTTTGCTCATTTTCAAGGCCCTGCACAAGCTTGCTCCTGCTTCTCTCTCTGCCCTTATTTCCTTCAACTCCTCCCACCCTCAGACATGTAAACAATTTGGCTACGTCTACACTGGCCCCTTCTTCGGAAGGGGCATGCTAATTTTGAAAGTGGGGATAGGGAAATCCGCGGGGGGGTTAAATATCCCCCGCGGATTTAAATAAACATGTCCGCCGCTTTCTTTCCGGCTTGGGGAAAAGCCAGAAAAAAAGCATCTAGACTGGCCCGATCCTCTGGAATAAAGCCCTATTCTGGAGGATCTCTTATTCCTACTTCCCCAAGCCGGAAAAAAAGCGGCGGACATGTTTATTTAAATCCGCGGGGGATATTTAACCCCCCCGCGGATTTCCCTATCCCCACTTTCAAAATTAGCATGCCCCTTCCGAAGAAGGGGCCAGTGTAGACGTAGCCAAATTGTTTACACCAGGAGTCCATCCACTCAGTACCGTGACAGTGGCCAGTAACCATATGCCATTTAGGATTAGAAAAAGACATCACTGGACACCTATGGATTATCCTGATTATGGAAGTTCCTTCCAAACACAATGAGTTATTGATTGTCTTACACCATGGAACATGAATTTTATCCCTTATTTTTAATCCTACTTTAGGCAACTGTAGATGTTCATTATCCACAGAATACTTAACCATTTTAATCTCTTGACCCTAGTTATGTATTGTGGCAATAAGTTTTATAGGTTAATTATGCATTATACAAGAATATTTCTTTTTATCAACTTTAAGTTGGTCATTAAATAATGCATCTTCTACCTTCTCTACACTTAATTATTACCTCTATCTTATTCGGTCATCTCTAAACGGAGCAGTACCATCACCTTTTTTGCTGTCAGACAATTGTTTGTCAACGCCTTTAGTAATTTTTGTTGCACACCTCTGGGAACAAACATCAAGTAACTATTCAAACAATGTATCCTCGTTGTCTAAAATGCACATTTTAAGTTCCAACTTCACACTATATGCCAGACCAGCGCTACAGTCACACCACACTGGGGGGGAAAGGAAGATAGCTCTTGGCAGAGAAAGCAAAATGGAGATTTATATGCACAAGAATATTTCCTTACCCCAAAGAATGCTCAAAGCGGTTGTGTGATGCTCCTGGGAAAACATAGTAAGTGCCTCCCAGCTGTTTAATATATCGCAGGCGCTGAAATTGAGGAGTGTCAATGATTCGAACGAGGAGAGGATGTATTTCAATATGCCCATGAATAGGATCATTAAAAACCTAGAAAATGTCAATGTAATTGAAAGTATGGTTTAACAATATGAGCTACAAAAGGGAAAGATTGTCTTTCCTTTCCTTTTTTTTTTTTAAAAAAAAAAGGACATTAAAATTCAGTTCTTGTCTATCCTGGAAAATGGTGTAGAACTGGAGAACAGGGAAGTTATGACATTAAAAGGACTTAGAACTAAAAACAGAGGGTAAGAGATTTCAAGCCAGCTATCTTAAAATCTTTTTCTACAACAGAAAGCAGCAAAAAAATGCAGCTCCAACTTAAGTTTCTTGTAGATGACCTTTAAGTAAGATTATACATTTTAGAAACATTTGAGTTATGAATTAAAAGATATAAATTTAAATTGATACTTTCTAAATCTGGGCATTCATTCCAGCATGAAAGAACAAGGCAAAGAATTATGATTTAAGGACAGGAGATTGAAGCAACAAAATTTACTACTATCTAATTTCAGTATCTGTGTACAACCACCTTTTCAGTATTCACTGTAGATGTGCCTTCTATGACAGTACTAAATGGGGACCTACAGGTCCAAAAACCTACTTCACCTACTGGAAAGGACTCAGCTTCACAACACCATTGCAAGTTCAGAAACACGTCACTATTAAGAACTGCTATTGCTATCTTCCTTTGCCTGTTTTTACATCACAAATATTGTTTTTCCAACAATATAGTACCTTGAGTCTTTATGTAAATGTACTTAAAACAGTTTCTCAAATGTCACCAAAGGGAGAAAAAAAACCGAGTCCCATTTTAAAAGCAGAAATAAGATCCTGAGTGTTGATCAACATGATATTATAGAATCATAGAATACTAGAACTGGAAGGGACTTCAAGAGATCATCAAGTCCAGTCCCCTATCCTGATAGCACAACCAAACACCATCTAGATCATCCCTGAAAGATGTCTATCCAAACTGCTCTTAAATATTTCCAGAGATGGATATTCCACAACCTCCCTGGGCAATTTAGTCCAGCGCTTCGGTTCCCTTTGGTATGAGGGCCTGTCCCTTTTGCGTGGGCCTTCACTTTTATCACCGCTACTTCAGTAGGTTTCTGCATGGCTGCATGAAGTTTCTCCGCTATCCTCCCATTTTGTACAGGCAGTCCCTGGGTTACGTACAAGATAGGGACTGTAGGTTTGTTCTTAAGTTGAATTTGTATGTAAGTCGGAACTGGTACATATTGTAGGGGAAACTCTAGCCAAACATTTCTCCAGAGCTCAGTTTTATTCTCCCACACCTCACTTCCCTCAGTCCTTTATTCTCAAGCTGAGGTGTCTGCTGAGAAAAGCTGCTCCACGTCTCCCTGGTCTGCTGGGGGGGTAGGGGGGGGTCGCTAGCTTCGCGTCTCCCTAGTCTGCTGGGGGGAAGCAGCTAGTGCTGGGTTGCCTCACCCGGTTTGAAAGTAGGGATCCGATGTAAGTCGGATCCATGTAACCCGGGGACTGCCTGTACTTGAAAAATGCTATCATGTCCCCTCAGTCTTCCCTCATAGTTCATGTTTTCTAGACCTTTAATCGTTTGTCTTGCTCTTCTCTGGACCTGCTCCAATTTCTCCACATCTTTCTTGAAACATGGCACTCAGAACTGGACACAATACTCCAACTGAGGCCTAATCAGTGCAGAGTAGAGCGGAAGAATGACTTCTCGTGTCTTGCTCACAACACTCTTATTCTATTACTGCTTCCCAGAATCATGTTTGCTTTTTTTGCAGAAGTGTCACACTGACTCATGTTTAACTTGTTGTTCACTCTGATCCCTAGCTCTCTTTTTGCAGTACTCCTTTCTAGACGGTTGCTTCCCATTCTGCGTGAAACTAATTGTTCCTTCCTAAGTGGAGCACTGCACTTATGCTTACCTTCATTATGTCAGCATGATTTTGTTCTAGCTTTTGTAGGCAAACAAGCAATTTCAGTCTCAAGTCCAACGGTCTAGAAATATCAAGAAGATTTGAAGGTTACTGTAAATTGAAAAACAAAGTAACTAGGCTGCCAAGTAATTAAACAAATTAATCGTGATTAATTGCTCTGTCAGTAAAAGCTCTGCTATCCAGTACTCAAGTGACCAGAAAGCTCAGTGAACTGGCATTTCTAATATCTCCCAATACAAGCCTTCAATCAAATAACCGGGACTTGCATACTGCTCAGGAAGTCATGCACTTGCAAATCTTGCACTCTGCAGAAGAGAAGTAAAGAAGCTGAAATCAATGATTTATTCAAAAAAAACCGCTTCCAGGGTGTGCCATAGGGACACTACAGATTCAGCCCAATCTGCTACACTTTATGCATCTGCAATATCTGATGTTGATAATGATGACTGAGGCACTAGATGATCCTCAAGAGCCTTCTGAATCAAAGAAAGATTAAACTATGTGCAGTATAATTTGAACATTATTTTTACCGATCTGGGTGTATGCCATGTGCTCCCCATAGTCATATGTAGCATCGTAAACTAACCTCCAGTATAGAAAACTTTACCAGTATACACCTAAGTGCTTCAAGAAACCACCACACTTTGCAGTGCAGTGTAACTACTGAACTGGTGAGTACCTGTTTGCTATTTTATACTTTATTAATTTTATTTATTTTAGTTCTTTAGAAATTGGTATTCCATTGGTAAAGTATAATGCTCACTTAACCAGAATACTTGATTAACCAGCACTCCTCAATCCCACCAACATGCTCAAACCATGTCTGACGAAGTGGGTCTTTACCCACGAAAGCTTATGCTCCAATAAATCTGTTAGTCTATAAGGTAACACAGGACTTCTTGTTGTTTATGCAGATTCAGACTAACATGGCTACCCCTCTGATACTTGTCACCAGGCTCATAGGTTAACCATACAAACAGTTAAGCTTTTACACCCGTAGTATAGACTGTGGCATTAATAGAACTACCTGGCCCCCCGACTCCTTCCAACACCCCATCTCACCATGCTACATACAGCTAGTAACGGGCATCTCAGAGATGCTGAGGAAATTGGGAAGGGGTTGGGAGATATATGCTAGTTGGTAACAAATTAGAGCCGTGGTCACCAACCCGCCGCTCACAATCAACTGATCGATCACGAGGCCTCGACCAGTCAATCGTGAGGCATTTGGGCACCCCCACCCCCCAGAAGCCCCACTACCTACCTCTAGTGTAGTGCCGGCTTCCCGCCGGGTGGACATAAGTCCTGTCTGAAGCCCGTGTCACTTCCGGGGGTTCCGGAAGTGCGCAAGCTGCTCCCCTCCCACAGCTCTGTTGCGTGCTGGGGGAGGGGGCGTCGGCCCCAGGGGAGAAGTGCAGCGGCTTCCCTGCGCTGCCAGCACCGGAGGGGTGAGTTGAGCGCAGGGGTTTCCCTGCGCTGCGGGAGTGGGGGTTGGCCCCGGGGTTTGGCCGCACTGCGGGAGGGGAGGGGGTTGGCTGGGAAGTGCGCAAGCTGCTCCCCTCCCACAGCTCTGTTGCGTGCTGGGGGAGGGGGCGTCGGCCCCAGGGGAGAAGTGCAGCGGCTTCCCTGCGCTGCCAGCACCGGAGGGGTGAGTTGAGCGCAGGGGTTTCCCTGCGCTGCGGGAGTGGGGGTTGGCCCCGGGGTTTGGCCGCACTGCGGGAGGGGAGGGGGTTGGCTGGGCCAGGCCGCACCGCGGGTGTGGGGTTTGGCCCAGGGGCTGGCGGCCCCGGGGGGTGGCGGTGG